ATATATATTAGTATAAATGTGCGCGAGCGTGATATGTTAATGTGTATGCATATGTAAAAGATATATTATTTCCATTTCTTCAATTATGATTAATGTGTAACGCAAAAAAATGTGTTATGATTTAAAAAATTTATTTTTAAGCAGCGCCTTTGTGATATACAAATATATTTGAAGTATCCTATGTATAGTTAAAAAATTTTTATATTTACATTAAAATGTAAATTTATTCTTTTCAAAAAGATATTGTTGAACTGCAAATTATTTTATGCAACACAGTGTATCACACCAGTTGCACTCATTGTTAACAACTGAAATGATATAACAACTGTAATAATATAGAATGTATCATATTCTTATAAATTTTTTTTTGCCTAATCAAGTTTACGTTTTTTATTGCAACATGGATCTGTAAAATTTTCGTCAATGATTTTTATATTAAGAGATGGTTTTTTCTCTTCGGCAGTTAAAAATGAAGGTTGTAAAAATTTATCTTTGTCAAATTTTAATGGAGCATATGTAGCCTTGTACTTTTCGATGGTCGACTCATCAATATGTAAATCGTGTATGTCTAAAATATCTTCTTTATATGCTGATTTGCCAGAGAAATCAATTTCACATCTGCACGAACGTTGTTTAATATAAATAAAATGTAAATCCATAACATTGGTTCCAGTGATTCCTGTCTTGATTAAATCTGCACCTTTTTTGAAACGCGAGTAAAAATTGTATGTATCATTTTCTTTTAAAGTATTTTCAGGTAACATACGTTCCACTTCCATTGTTGTTAATACCAAGGGATCAATATGTTCTGGAGTAGAAGCAGACTCTTCTGTTGCATTACTAGATTTTTTATCTGATATTTCTACTTTCTGTTCAGGCAAAGTTCCGATAATTTCTTTAGTAGCCATAGACTTAATTTTTGCATAAACATCGTGCATTATAGGTGCAATGGAAGGGTAACCAAAAGCACCTGCTGCATCAGTAGGACCATCTTGACCATCGGTACCTGCGCTAAGCATTATTACATCGTATTCAGCGAACCGCGGGTAACTTTTGATTTTTGCTAACCAATCTAACGAGAAACGTAAAGCTAATTCTTGATTTCTACCGCCTTTTCCTTGACCAGTTACTACAACTGTAGGCTCTCCCCCTCCAATTAAAACTATACCACCGAGATTGCTACTGATTTTATGAAATATTTCATCTACCTTATCAATAGATAATGAAAGTATTGGCATGGCCCGTACTTTTTCATAAAATTCTTCTCTCTTCAACTCTTTTAATAAAACGAGACATATTAAACTTGTTATATGAGCATATGCTATACTAACATCCTGTACATTTCCTGTAACATCATTTCTTAACATAATTGAAATCAATTTTTTACGCAATGCTTCAAAACTTGCAGCTTCAAGAGCCATTGTATTATTTCCTAAAATTATATTCGTCACATGTTTAAATTGTTTAGCTGGACTCAACAATGGTTTGTCATCAAATGTCTCCTTGGATGTTAAAACTGTCTTTAGATTACCTTCTAGTGATTGATATAAGTTATACTTTTTTAATATAGTAATAACGTTGTCCAGTGCTTTTGTGCTATAAACAGTAGGACCACTAGCAATTAAGTCTATAGGATCACCAACAATATCGGATAATATCAGTGTAATAATGGATGCAGGGTACGCCATTCGTGCCAAACCACCACCCTTTACAAGAGACAACTTTTTTCTTACAGTATTAAGCTCTGTAATATCGGCACCTGCATTTTGAAGCTTTTTACAGAGTTCCAACTTGTCTTCTTGATCAAGGACAGGCCTCGGCATATATAGCAAAGCAGAACCTCCACCTGATACCAATGCTATTAAAGTATCTGTTTCTGTCAATCTTTCAATCAAGTCTATAATATCGTGCGTGGTGTTCAATGATCTGCTGTCAGGTTGATTATTGATACTACCCTCACGATAGTCTATAACACTATTGTGCAATTTAGGAAAGCCAGATTTATCTTCGGAGGTCCACATAGCATCCTTTGATGGAATACTGACAATACCTTTTTTCAAGACATTACCGAGTATTTTCTCGAGTTCTACTGCCATTCCCATAACTGCTTTACCAAATCCAACCAGATAAACATTCTCTCGAAGTAAAAAACTTTTTTCCTCAATATACAAAGTATTATTTCGGAGTTTCACTCTCCTCTTGATAATCTCGTTCGGTGATACCGCTTTCACGGCAGAATGAAAGATATCATTCAAATCAGATTTAGAATCTGACAAAAATTTTGTGTTCGTTGCCATACTGTGATTTGAATTTGTACACTTGAAAATTTTTAATAGGTTAGGATGAGAAATAATCGAATAACTGAAAGATTAAAATAAACATAAACGAAACATCATTGAAACATTCAATTGCAGTAATGAAAATCGAGACACTTGCCTGCGTAGAGTGAATTTACACAATATTATTTTTTGTCGCATTATAATCGATTATTAAATACATCGGTCAATACGTGGAAGACATTTTCTATGATAACACTGCAATATCTTTTTATGATAAAATTTTTACTCTATGCCACACGCGTTATCGAAATTAATATCTTTAATTTTTATTTCAAATTTTGTAAATACATAAAATTATACATATGCGTTTATTTATTACTGAAAAAATGTTATAAATAACAAATGATAGTTAAAAAAACCAAACTTAATCACATTTGTATATATTTTAATATTAGTAAATATACTAACTCTAATTTATGAATAGAAATATATACTACATTTATTAATTTTATCTCTTCATAATTTTGTTTTATGCTTTTCTGTCAAAGAGAATATCGATTTATTAAATTTGTGACCGATACTTTTATATAAGAGAGCTACTTATATTAAAAATAAAAAGAACGTGTTCAATAAATATAACATAACTATGACATTTGATAAATAAGTATATAAGATAAAAATGTATTAATTAAATATATACTGTACTACGTACATATAAACTGTACATACATATGCTATTTACAAAACCAATGAAGCGTATACTTCAAAATTTTTCAAGAATATTCTTGATGGAATCATCGTATTCTATACAAAAAAATGTTATTCTTCAATATTATTATAATGGAAGAATATATTGAATGTAAGAGTATAAGAATGTATTAACGTAACTGCTACGAAGTATTAGCATGAAAGGCATTTTCTTTATTTATTTGTTCATATAGGTAATTCTGGCAATCTTTACATGAATATTTTTGATATTTAAGTACGACCACATAAAATACACCTAATTTGATTAAATTTTCCTAACTGAGCTTTAAATAAATAAAATTTGGAGAATTATACTTTAGCTTTAAAATAAATTAGCTTTTACATTATATTATAGAAATAAATTTTGTACAATTGATAAATTGCATTACATAGCGTACTTTTATGCATGATCTAAGGAAGTCAACGTTTAAAATTTTTGTTGGCCCTGAAAAGGGCCGTTTGCGTATTGGAGGTAAATGGCAATTTATTTGGAGCTGGTGTACTTGGTCACTGCTTTCGTGCCTTCACTGACTGCGTGCTTGGCCAATTCACCCGGTAACAAGAGCCTCACAGCTGTTTGTATCTCGCGGGAGGTGATAGTCGAACGCTTGTTGTAATGCGCCAATCTCGACGCTTCCGCAGCGATTCTTTCAAATACGTCATTTACAAAGCTGTTCATGATGCTCATGGCTTTGCTGGAGATTCCAGTGTCCGGGTGTACTTGCTTCAGTACTTTGTAGATGTAAATAGCGTAACTTTCCTTCCTCTTCCTTTTTTTCTTCTTATCGGTCTTGCTGATATTCTTCTGAGCCTTACCGGCTTTCTTTACCGCTTTACCACTCGCTTTAGGAGGCATTCTCGTAAAATTGAGACTACTTGTAGATTAAACCACGATACAGAGTTCTCGATGTCTACGGGAAAAGTGACTAGTACGAGCCGAGCTATTATATATATACGTACGCGCGAGAGCTGCAACGCACCAATCAGAATGCCGGATGGCCACCGCGCGCTCTCATAGGTGGCGGTGCGCTCTCCCGATGGAGTATAAAAGGACAGCACGAATCGACCGAGCGTCACAATTCTCTTGCTTTTCGTAAGATCGAGATCTCTGTATTCGCTAATTTGAGTAATATGTCTGGTCGTGGGAAGGGCGGCAAAGTTAAGGGAAAGGCGAAGTCGCGCTCCAACAGAGCGGGATTACAGTTTCCCGTGGGTCGTATTCACCGTTTGCTAAGGAAAGGAAATTACGCTGAGCGCGTTGGTGCCGGTGCTCCGGTTTACCTGGCCGCGGTAATGGAATATCTCGCCGCTGAAGTATTGGAATTGGCTGGCAACGCGGCTCGCGACAACAAGAAGACTAGAATCATCCCTCGTCATTTGCAACTTGCCATCCGCAATGACGAGGAATTGAACAAGCTGTTGTCTGGTGTAACCATCGCTCAAGGTGGTGTTTTGCCGAACATTCAAGCTGTGCTGCTGCCCAAGAAAACCGAAAAGAAAGCATAATTATAATCCGATATCCACCATCAAATGGCCCTTTTCAGGGCCACAAAATTTTATGACTGGGATAATCTCGTTTAGCATAGTAAAATATTTTACTAATAAATATATATTTATTTTTTTAACAAAGTTAATATAATAAAGTTCTTTTATATACACATTTTAAATACGCTGATCATATTGACAATGAGATATGCGTCATATCTTTCATTGTGTGTATAATGTAAAATATATTCACAGGACATTACACACACTAAATTTTAAATAATCACTTTACGGCGACGGAATATGTAGTTTTAAAATGCATAGTCTTGTGTCACAAATTAATATATTTGTACAAATTATCAAACTACAAAAATATAACAACAATGAATCACACTATTTGTATATACCTAGTGAAAATTTTGAGCGATTGATTATAGTGATTCTTTGTATATTTATATATTTATATATTTATATATTTTTTATCGCCAGTCACTTTATTGTTAGATCTATGTATCAAATGTCGATATTTTCATCTTTTCATATTTGTTATTATATTAATTTTCTATCTATTTTTAAAGACAAACAGAAAGATACAATAAATTATTTGAAATATAGCCTTGACTAAAGTAAATGTGTACAGTAACGATGATTTATAAGTCCAAGTGTTGTCTATACATAAGTACATACGATCTTTTACTTCTGATATTTAGTAGCTTTGTTATAAATTTAAGTAGATAATTAAAATTAAACTTTATCTTATTGAGAGAGAGAATAACGCGAATAATATATTTTTTGTTTACTAGTCTTTTTAAACCCTATATAAGTTTGATTTATTTTACAAATGTTAACACGATAAAATAATTTATTACTTTCTGCCAAAACAAATATAAATTTAAAGAATATTACGTGATGTTATGTAATTATTTAATTTCTCTAAATATTTCATGATTTTAATCACCTCATTAAAGAGATATTGATAAATTGTGAAGTTTTGTTAAGATAATGTAAAATAATTAACGGAAGGTATAAAGAAGTAGAAATTAATTTAGATTTTAGTATATAAACAATTACTTTTAAGGCTTCTTTTAACATCGATTACATCTCATCGTGATTTATGCTTATATATTATTATATTATTGCTCACAATTGTATGTGAAAATTATTTAACACTAGGCATGGTTATAACAATAAGATTACACGAAGTCGTCTCGAGTCTTGATATAGCATATCACGAAATGGCGCTGGAAAAAAAAATTCCTTTTACTGTTCAATCATTGTAGCCATATAAATATACACAGTTATTCTGTAGCATTCGCATAGTTTTTGGAGTATAGATAAGATATTTTAATATTTTATTACCTTATAGTGCTTTAGAGAATAAAAATTTATCAGTATTATAATAAAAATATTTAATAATATATGGTATGTTTCATAAAAATACCATCATCTGAACACATTTACATTTGGAATCTTATCGGGAAATATTAATCTGTTTTAAACACATGCTTACAAAATATGTCTATTTTATAAGAAAGTACGTTCAACTTAATTATTTAATTAAATTGTACAACATTAATACGTCAATACCAACAATTTACTCCAAAATCTATACAGTCTCACATGAAATTTTAACGCCATTCAGATATATTTTAAATGTACTAGTGTGTTGAGGAGAATTATACTGGATCGTTAGATTCATTTTATTGTTATAAACCATAATGGCAGAACGTTCTGTTTGTGAGCAATGAGTTCCATAGCTTGCTCTGATTCAACGTAGAAAGCGTGTGACAGCTGTTACTGTAGCGCTACATAAGCTGGGTCTGGCAACCGCGAGACGTGATTGGAGGAGCGCCGCTCCCTCCGATTCGTATAAAATGAATGCGTCCGGCCGTCGACGATCAATTGACGCTCCGACTTCGTTCGATACACAGCTCGTACGTTGAGAATTTCGTCGCTACTAATCCCATCATGCCTCCGAAAACGAGCGGGAAAGCAGTAAAAAAGGCAGGCAAGGCCCAGAAGACCATCAGTAAGACGGATAAGAAAAAGAAGAGGAAGAGGAAGGAAAGCTATGCCATTTACATTTACAAAGTACTGAAGCAAGTACACCCGGACACTGGGATCTCCAGTAAAGCCATGAGCATCATGAACAGTTTTGTTAACGACGTGTTTGAAAGAATCGCTGCTGAAGCGTCGAGATTGGCGCACTATAACAAAAGATCGACGATCACCTCTCGTGAGATACAAACTGCAGTAAGGCTTCTTTTACCCGGAGAATTGGCCAAACACGCGGTCAGTGAAGGAACTAAAGCAGTAACCAAATACACTAGTTCCAAATAAAGCTACATTCAATACATCGCATTATATATATCGGCCCTTTTCAGGGCCAACATATGTTTAAAACGTGGAAGTCTTTCGTTTCGCTTGCAATATTTTATACATATATTTTGACTCATTATTTTTTATATCATAAATAAAGTATTAAAATAAATTATAGAGAAACAAAGCGTATAATTTTCGTGGTGAAGTGATGAACTGATATTTACATCAACAAAGACGAATTTTGTATATCTTTTTTATGTATTTTTCATACAACCTTAAACGTTTATTTTCATCAGTTAAAAGTTTAAAGTATATCAAATTCAAATATTCGAATAAATTCTAAAATGTCTTATGTTTTATATTAAGTTTTTGATGTTTTCTTTTATTCCATTAAGATTGATATGATCGATAAATTAGTTTACGATTTGTACTACATTTCTTAAATCATTACTTGTTAACACAAGAATGCATTATAAAATTAAATCATGAATAATCCGAGATTATTTCAACATCTTTTAATTTTATGTAGCGATCTAAGAATCAATATAAAAAGTGGAAGAATTATTTTCTTAATGCTGCGCAAATATTTAAAAGTAATGACTTTAGATAGAGATCGAATTTAATCATTAAATAGTTTATGTTTATACCGATTATTAGAAGATACATATGTAAATGTAATAACATATTTATAATATATAGTAATTTTCTGTTTTTATTTTTTATTGCCACTTTAAAAAAAGTTTCAACCTCATTAATCATATTAAAGTCTGACGAATAAAACAATTAGTTTCTTTGAAATTTATTTATTCCTCGTGAGGTTAGGATTACTTTTACGTCTTTATAGATAGCAGTTGCAATTATAGGAAATAATGATAAAATTGAATTTAAAAAAATGCCCCACTTAGTATTGTAAATAAAAAGAATATGTAAATATATATAACAATAAATTTTTCACACATTTTGAATATAGTTTATGCATGTAGAGAGATCTTATAGGCCTTCAAACTACTGACATTATCAGCGTCTATGAAATAAGTTTGTAAAAAAGTAAAAAATTTATATTTCAATACATACATATATACTTAATTTTCATCTTATTCGTTATTTTCGAATAAAAGTTATAAAACGTTTTTCTAAAAATTACTATTTTTTGCTTATCGTTTTCCGTAAATGCTTCATTTTTAAATATTTGCAAATAAATGTATAATGGCAATTCAATTTTTTAAAATTGTAATATCGAATTTTTTACTGACAAATATAAAAGCAAGAAATATGATACAAGTATTTATAAAATGTTATCTATAGAGTACGAATTCCGACAATTCTTTTAAATTATATGTTAAAACAATAATTGCTGTAGTAAGAAAATTCCAATGTTTGACAATTTGTGGCCCTGAAAAGGGCCGTTTGTATACAAGAACAATTGTCTATGTTTAACCGCCGAAGCCGTATAAAGTTCTTCCTTGACGCTTCAGGGCGTAGACGACGTCCATAGCGGTGACAGTCTTCCTTTTTGCATGCTCGGTATAAGTAACCGCGTCACGAATTACGTTCTCGAGGAATACTTTCAGTACACCACGCGTCTCTTCGTAAATCAATCCAGAAATACGCTTGACGCCACCACGACGTGCAAGACGACGAATAGCCGGCTTAGTAATGCCTTGGATGTTATCGCGAAGTACTTTGCGATGTCTCTTCGCTCCTCCTTTTCCCAATCCTTTTCCTCCCTTACCGCGACCAGTCATCGTAATATGCTTACAGGAGTCGTACTATTACTTCGACAAGAGCAGAACGAATCTTGGTCAGATTAGCGAAAACCGCGGTTTTATTCCATGGTTGCACGCCAATTCCCACCACAACGACGTCCACCAATAGGATCGCCGCATCATCTATCCTCCCCACTCTTGTAATACCAACCAATCAGGTGCGTCGTGCGATTGTCGAAGCCGGTATATAACGACTATGATTCCGCCAGAACGTTTCAAATCTGACGAAGCGCTTTGAGGATATTCAGACGTTACGTTGACTATAATGGCACGTACTAAGCAGACTGCTCGCAAATCGACAGGAGGAAAGGCTCCTCGCAAACAGCTCGCTACTAAAGCCGCAAGAAAGAGCGCTCCAGCTACCGGCGGCGTGAAGAAGCCTCATCGTTATAGGCCCGGTACTGTGGCTCTTCGCGAGATCCGTCGTTATCAAAAAAGTACGGAATTGTTGATCCGTAAATTACCATTCCAACGACTCGTTCGCGAGATCGCTCAAGATTTTAAGACTGATTTACGTTTCCAAAGTTCTGCTGTAATGGCTCTTCAAGAGGCTAGCGAAGCATATCTCGTAGGATTGTTTGAAGATACCAACTTGTGCGCTATTCATGCTAAGCGAGTCACTATCATGCCTAAAGATATCCAATTGGCACGTCGCATTCGTGGCGAACGAGCTTAAACAAAACTAATAAACAATCGGCCCTTTTCAGGGCCAACAATTTTTCTTCGAAAGAATATCTTCTTATTAGCAATGCATTTATTTCTTAATATGAGTGTATAGCTAGATCATATATATTAAAATAGTATAGATCTATAGATTATATATATGAGTAGTTTATTCTTAATTCCAAAATACACTTTTGAATTTATCATTTTTAAAATAATATAACTTATCATTTATGCTTATATCATCCTAACTTAATATTTTTTCAGTTGCGTTGAATTTATTACAGCGAATGAGTCTTAAATTTAATCCAAGCCTTTTTATAGTTTGTATAATGTAGAAAGGAATATTATTTTTATATAAACTATATAAATAGAATGTATATAAATTGTACTTAAATGATTATAAACGCAAATAATCTTTGGAGTACTTATTGAATTGTTAATTCGTGTAATGTATCTATTATAGATTTCGTATATCCAAACGCGATTCTATTTGAGTGCAAATTTTATTTTTTATTTATGTTTTATGTGTACAATACATATATAATATTTTATTTAATATTACCCAACCTTTTAATTTGAATAAATTGTATTTTGTTGACATTCGGTGTGAAAATGTATAGAAATTTAAACGAATACACTCCTTTAGGATTTTATTACATGAAAGAGAGGTTAGATAACATTTAAGAATCATTTCATTAAAATTTCTAAAAATGGAAATGCCCAACTTATACATTGAATAATAATTTAAATATATAAGTATATTAAATATTATTTAAAAAGAATCTTTCCATTTAAAAAATTTATATAATATACTAAAAAACAAAGATATACAAATATTAGCGAAGAGCCAAGTTTTTTTTGTATTATTGAATTCATATGTAAATTCTTCGTCTTCTTAAGTTGAGACAAATATTTAATTAATGAATATATGACGACACTCAAATATATCTTATTGCTTTTCTAAATAGACGAATTTACCTTGAAATAGAAGAATTCAGTAATAATTAACAAATAGTTTTTATGTGAAATTGAAGATATTGTCCAAATTTTTCGTCTTTTTAAATATCGATGAATTTGACAAATATGAAAGATATTTTAGATTTATTCATAAAATAGACCAATTGTAAATAATAATGTTAATGTTTTTTTCTATTTTTTCATAAATAAGTCTATTGTTTCTTTCAAAGGATTCAATTTAGCTGTTCTTTTACATAAGTCGATATCCATATATTTATTTTTGTTTATATATTATATGGACATACAGGATGACATCTAAATGTTGTTGGAATCAAATACAACTCGCAGCATTAAGAAAAAAATTTGAGAATTATTTCTAGCAATAGGAAAAGTTGTTTAGACCACACATTATATATCAAGGCGAAAAAAGACATTAATTGAAGTAGACATTTAATTAAATGAAATAAATTTGATTTAGATATACTTTTAATACATCCCTAAAAAACTTTTGGATATAATCTTGTTTATCGTGCGTCACAGTAAAACAGATGTTCTAACATGTCAATTTTTAAAAATTTAATTTTTGTTAGGAATTATATAATTGTAATTAATATAATATATATAACTATGCTATAATATACAATTAACTAATATAAATCATATAATAAATATAAATATAATTTACTTATATATAAAAAATATAATATTATAACATCCTTTATCGCTATTTATTTGTGCGTTAGATTATTAACAGACCATTTTTATTTATATTTTATCAAACGAGAAAAATGCGAAAAATACGTTGATAGAAGTTCAGTATAGAAGCATTTTGAAAATGTACGTTGGATCATACAATTTCAACCAATGGCAGCTTGGCTCGCACGCCATTGGTTGAACGCTACTAGTACGATCGCCTATAAATACCTGCCGCTTATGAAAGCTGGCACAAATTGTGTTTGACCGTCGTACCGTACGTATTGAGGCTACTCAACTTTTCATCAAGTCAAGATGTCTGGACGTGGCAAAGGTGGTAAAATAAAAGGCAAAGCAAAGAGCCGTTCCAATCGAGCTGGATTGCAATTTCCCGTGGGTCGTATTCATCGATTATTGAGGAAGGGAAATTATGCCGAACGCGTCGGTGCCGGTGCACCGGTGTATTTGGCCGCCGTGATGGAATATCTTGCCGCTGAAGTATTGGAATTGGCTGGAAATGCAGCCCGCGATAACAAGAAAACGAGAATCATTCCAAGACACTTGCAGCTCGCCATCCGCAATGACGAGGAGCTGAATAAGCTGCTCTCAGGCGTCACTATTGCACAGGGAGGTGTTTTGCCAAACATTCAGGCAGTGCTATTGCCAAAGAAGACTGAAAAGAAAGCATAATCGTAAACTGGCAATGTGAGACAACAACTTACAGTTGGCCGCGGATCCACAAAATATCACAAATGGCCCTTTTCAGGGCCCCAAAATATTGATACGATGGTACGATCTCGTTCGCTTCAAATTTATAAAAGAATTCGTGTTTTTGTCTGATTTTAATATTAAAAAAAAAAAGAATTATAGATAATAGACATTTTGAACAGGTTTTATAATCTAAAAATCTAAACAAAACATGAAACATTTAATAAACATGTCTGAAGATACTTAGATTCTTGAATTCTAAAGCAATGATTTGCAAATTACGCAGTTATATTAAAATTTGCATACATATGAGCTCACATAAATTATTTTAAATTCTTATCAATTATAAAGATAATGTAAAAAATTGCATGTATATAATTGTTACATATTTAATTATTTAGAAACAGATTGTTATAAATAAAACAAAATTTTTATACGGATGTGATTAGAGATTTTTATAAATATTTGAAATAAAATTTTATTAAGATTTTTCTCGCTCTCCATTGCATAATTTTTTAAAAGTTCTGAGAGAAAGTGCTCCAAATTATTTTGGTTCTTGGCAATTAAAGATTATTCTAATATTGTGTATAATTACTGATATAACAAAAAAATTATTTACCAACATAATTTTTTTTTTTATTTTCGAGGTTAAAATTACAGTTTGGTTAATGCATATATTATATATAGAAAGTAATAAAAATTTGTCACATTTATGTTTTATTAGTTTATTGCTTAGACTGGGTCCCTCAATTTAAAACTTGTTAGTTTTTGTCCTACATATTTTGTTGTTTCCATCCTATATATAATTTAGTATCTATATCTATATTAAACAATTCTCTCTCTCTCTCTCTCTCTCTCTCTCTCTCTGCATATTATATAAAATTTAAATTTACATTTTAATTACACTTTTTTTATTTGTTTTTTCGATTTTAATCAATTTGACATGTATTTGGTATAAAATGATTGGTAAGTATAAATATATAAATATACTTTTAAATACATAACATAGATGTATGTATTTGCAAATTTTACATAATTTGATACAGCATTATTAGAATTTACAACTTTATAAAAGATCGGTTACAGTAAAATTGACTGAATAAATTGTATACTTCTTAATAAAGATTCATAAAAGTTGAGCAGTTAATTTATCTAATAGTAATAATATATGTATAAATACATGGCTTTTGTTTGTCAGGAGAAAGTTAAATAATTAGAGGTCACAAAAATCCACACAAAGATTTCTTCTCATGTAAGTATATTAAAATCTGTATGTATATTCATGTTTGCTGTTTCACATACGGTTCAATATACTTTGGATTGATCGCAGATTTGTTATTTCTTTATCGAGATCTCCACCATTAGGTTTACTGAAGAGAGTTGTTAAACATTTCGAAATAACATCCTGACATTTTGTTATTATCTTTCTCCTGTAATGAAAAAAAGTTTTGCTAAAATCTAGTTTTATATTAAAATCAAGTTGCACACTGATTCTCTGATGATGACTAAAAACAAAGAATATTTTATTTGTTTTTGTTTAAAATAAGCTATTGTTCGCTTTTCTCTCTTTGATTTATATTAATCTAAATTTTGGTCTTCAAGATTAAGTATAATCAGTATTGCATGTTACAAATGATACTTACCTGATAAAATTATTTGTTATGTTCGAATTTGCTATGAAATAATTTACCAAATTTGCTGTCGATTCGATTAGATGAAATTCATTGCCTTCATTTAACCAAGTACGGGTATTCTTGCCAATCATTCTAAAGACAGACAATATTCATTACTTTGCAGTACCAGAACATAAAAATTTGCAGTTGTATAGTATACTTACTTGTCATAAATATCTAAGAGATCTTCCATTGCTATTCCCAATTCCAAAAACCCAGTTATGATACTAATGTTAGATACTTTGTATTTACATGCCTTTATTTCCAATTGTTTTACTAGAAAATCTAAAATGCGTGTGTAAAAAAAAATATTAAAAAATATATACATAAGAGATATAACATACATATGACATAAGATTTCAATAAAAAAATAATCAGACATATGTGAAACAATTACCAACTGGGAAACAATGCGGTGATCCAATATATTCTTGGCCAAGTAATTTAATTTTACTCATTAAAATGGTCATTTTATCTTCATTTGAAGGTTCCGTTGCATTTTCTAATTCTACCATAAAAAAGATTTGAGAAAATTATTGAGAATAAACAGCAATGTTGTAAATATGTAAAATATTGCTTATACCATTATCGATTATGTTTGTCCAAATTCCTTTAATTAACATATCATCTTGATGACCCGAGCAATGAATTATAGCCAATTTGCATTCCCAAAGCTGTAAAGGTTCTGCATATTCTTCATATAACTGTAATTAAAGTTTTATATAAAAATGTGTTTAAAAATGTATAGATAAAACATGATATATCTATATACATAAAATTACAAACCTGTGTAATATCAAGCAATGAAGAATTTAATCTCAATTTTGCATCCGTAACTAACATAGAATCGAACAGATTTTGCTGATTGCTTATAATATCAAGTATCTGTTAAATATTTAAAGCAAATATATATATTAATTAATAATATTCTAATCAACATTTGCTTAGATTCCGAGATAATAAGACATTTGATCCAATGATCTTTTGTTATCTCTCTTTTTAAAGGTATTTTTTAATAATCATAGATGTAAAAAAAATCTAAATTATGAAAATATCCTAGTTTGTAGAGATTACTTAAATCTATGACTATTGACAGTTTGGGATATATACCTGTTGTTGCATCCTAGCTACTTCTAATTTATCTTCTAATTCACGTAAGAAAACTCCAAGATAAGGAGCATATCCAGTTTGATCACTTCGCATACATACAACCGCTCGTGCTAAATACTCGACTCTTTTTGACAGTGGTATCTCTGACCTGTACAAAATGAACAATGATATTTTTATTTCGAAACAACCGTATTACGCAAACGATACGTACGTACCCGACTTTGCTAGCTAAAGAATCCAAAATTTTTGCCGCGGCTGCGTGATTTTTGTTCCTCTCGTAAAACTGCCAGAGTAATTCAGGCGCATTAATACGATTAAGGTAAGTTTCCAGCGAAGGTGCAGCGAGTGCAATTAATTCACCGTGAAGTCCTCGCTCTATCATCCAAGTATAAATACAGGAGTGAAGTGTCTCGCAAGGTGCTTGCAGTGCATCGCCAATGATCTCGTGCAACTAAGAAAAAAAAAGATAATTTTATAATATTTTGAATAATTAAAAAAGTGTGTAATGAGCGTTTCTTACTATCTTTTTCGCTGGTGTTACTGTAGTAGCTGATGTAGTTTGCAAAGGTGGCCCAGGTTTGCTTGGTATGGTCGGTGTTAAAGGATTAGAGATGCTTTGATGATATAAGTGATCTAACATTGTAGTGAATTCCTTATAAATTTCCGAACTGTAAAAAATATGAAAAAAATGGAAATTATTAAGATTCTTTACAACTATTTGGAGGGATATGTACCACCATTGTGACAAGTTAACGAGTACCGTTTTGCAAAAGCCAGATTTCCTTCTTGATCCTCTATAGGTTCGTTATTTTTGTAATAATGCGAGGCAGCATTATTGGGATCTACTCTTTCTGCACAGCAGATACACAATTCAAGTACTCCCGTGTAAAATTGGCATGCCACAAACTGCTGACATACTGCACTCCAGTTCAATCTGGGTGCTACCTCTTTACAAAGCTGTACACATATTTACTGAGTAAAATCATATGTTTGACTATATATTATGCAAGTAACGCATCATAATATACCTTTAAAGCAGATTTAAGATAACATTCTTTTTCCTCAGGATTCGTACAATTTTTCGCTTTTAGGAGAATTTCGTTCGCCTAAATTTACAAAGATATTTATATATAATATTGATATATACATAAATATTTGCTTGCATGAATTATATAAAATGATACCTTGGAGCAAACAGCGTCTTCAGTTCTGTACAGATTGGGACATATTTCTCTTAATTTTGCGCTTACAGAATCCACTGATGCATTATCTCCAAGATAACTACAACATGTTAATCATAAATCATTATAATATTTCTTAACACTTTTTATTAACTCTTACCTATCAATCAAATGAATGATGAGTAGAGAAGATATCTCATGGCCTATTAAAATCAAATCTCTAAAAGTGGCAGTAGAAAATTGAGCAATCTGATCCTGAAAAATATCAGTATACATCTTAATTATGCTTCTCTATCTTTAAAACAGAAACTAATTTTCTGAAAAAATTTAACTCAAAGCAAATAACCTTTGATAAACAGTTGATAATGTTATTTAACCGATTCTCACATAATATCTTCCATAAACCCAAGACCTCACAGGCATGAGTAATGAAAACTTTTAAAGCATCCAACGAGTTTCTTTCTTCTACAATCGGTTCTTGAAAATGACTTTGAATTGTCGTTTCAAAACCATCTGTTAATGTTCTATTTGTGTTTTGTCTAAAGATAAATACACTTAATTTTAATCTCAATTTATCAAAATAAAATAAAATATTATGCTCTCTCTCTTTCTCTCCTCTCTATTACATTGAAAAATAATGTTTTAAATAATACATACTGTTTTGTGATATGCGTATTTTTATTCAAGAAACATCTTAATGCTTGCAAATGTCCTAAAATCCAAGTTATTTGTGTTGCTGGTACAGTACTGGATATCTAGAAAAAACAAGTAGAGTTGTGCAAATTAGAAACTTGCACATTGCTTCCTCATCATTTTATCTTACAATGCTTAAGCTGCTTTAAGCATGCGGATTTTTCAATTTTTGCTTCCTCATAGAGGAAGCTTTGTGAGCAAAATAAAAATTAAAATAATTTCTTTCACCGATCCTCACTAAATTCAATATCAAACATTCTTTAATAATATTCTATTCACGTAAAAAAATTTAATCGGATATCTCAAATTTTCTGAAAGTTAGAGCGTGTACAGACATTTCTCAAAAAATTCAAAATTTTATAAAAAATAAACCCTTTCACCGATACTCACCAAATTCAGTAGCAACCATCCTTTAATAAAAAAAATTTAACCCGATATCTCAAAAATTGCGGAAGTTAGAGGTTGTACAATATATTGCGTACATACATACATACACACATACATACATACATACATACATACATACATTTTTTAGGAATATGATTTTTCGACGTTTTGGAACATTCTAAACACATTGGCATAGCAAACTCGAAAAAAATTTTGTCACGAAAACAAAGCTTCCTCTATGAGGAAGCAATAAGTGTAATACTTATAATTTATAAGTTTTATAATTTAATTATAATGCAAAATATTAAGTATTCTAATTTTAAAGATAAAACTAATAGTAATACATACACGAATCTACCTCAATATTTTCCGAACTGATTAAAAAACATGTTTATATATATATATATAATTTGTATAATAAATTAAATTATAAACTATAATAAATTAAAAATTTTACTTTTAGAAAGTGATAAATCAAGTGAGTACAAGTTATTTTTAGAATTGAGATTGAAATAGAAAACAAGAGTCTAATTGATGCAATAAATGTATTAATGCAAATCAAATGTATATTAAACACTAAGTAATAAAATTGCTTATTAAGAGATAGTGTTTTTTTAACCAATCTGAAAAATTTTGTAATGCATAACGTGTATATAAAAAATAATTCTTTCCTAGCATACACTTCACTGTACAGGTTCACGGATGAAGGTTGAAGTGTACAGAAGAAAAGTGAATACACGAGACGAACTGCTCGCTTAAATAATGAATGCTAGTGCCCGCATAAAGGAACGTCACGATGTACTCAGACGAGCAACACGCCATGTTCACACAACAGTTGAAAAATGCATTGATGTTAACGGTGGAATTTTTGAAAATTGATTATAATCTGTAAAAAATGTATCACTTGAACAATAAATATTAGAAATAGTATGTAGTATTTCTTTCTTGTCAGTAATTTTGCAACTGTACATTCAAGTCGCTCTATCTCGGAAACCGTGGGTAATAGGCCATATATTCATATGAACATTTTTGCTTAAAATGACCGATACGATCACCTCTCAGAATATTGACCTTTCCTCCTAAAATACCCTGTATACTTACCACATTTTTGTTATTTATCATTTCTTGTTTTATACATCTTATATTCCATATAGGACGAAGTATTCTTCCCACATACAGATACAATCCACTATGTTTAGCAGAGAAATGTTGTAAGGCAATATCTGTGGTGCCGAGACCCATTTGTGCGGGTGATCGGAAGGCTTGGGCTCGAGAATCGAAGGGTGGCACTCTAGGTGTAGATGTGCGTAAATCTGCTAAATTAAAATTAATTTTAAATATAAATCAAATATTCATGTGTATGCAACATTTGAATTTTACACAATACAGGTCAATATGTATAAATACCTGGATTTATACTAGAAAAACCATGCATATCAAATGCAGGACCTATTCCAGCTATCCTTTGACTACCATATAGGAAGAATGCACGGGTCGCCCATTCTGACAACTAATGTAATTATTAAAAAATTATTATTAATAATGAAGTGTACAAAATACAAAATACAGTACAAAATACTGAATATAATACAAACTTGAAAAACATAAATAATTATATATATATATAAGTATAATAAAAGAAAATAGATTTTTATACCTGAGCATTTTGAGCACTTTCAAGTGTTGCCAAAATTAAGCATGTAGCACAAGCTTGTTCCAGAGATTGCGTTTGAAAATATGCGCGTACTGCTTCAGTATCAGGTCCACGTTGTTCTAAAAGAAGTTGTCTCAGAATATCTACAGGACGTACTTGCATTAAAATTATCGCCCCCTGCAATAAAATTACCACAAAATAATAATAATAATAAGTAATATGTATAATATGTATTATATAAACGTAAAAAATATTTGCATATTTTATATATGTATGTATTTATGTAAACACATACTTGTGCTGTCAAAAATATGAATTTCCTTGGTGGTTCCATGTGTTGACGCACTAAAAGTGGAGGTTCACCTTGAGTGGTGCTTTGCTTTTCTATGTGTATAGCTGAATCTCTTATAATCTCTTCCATAGCCCAAGCTGGACTATCAAGAGGCAAGATACTCTGAGTTTCAGCCAAATAATTTGTAAATGGATAAGCGTCATTACTTAAACACCATGCAGTTTCCGTGTCACCACCGCAAATAAGAATAAGAGTTCCTAAAAAATATTCAAACTAGTCATCTCTAACATCTTGTTTCCAATGTACTCATTCATGATATATTATGAATAAACAATTTACCCTTTCGATAATATGCCATTTGCACTTTGCGTGGTCTCATTACCGGAGCATTTGCAGCATAGCCTGGTGGTAATCTAACATGTATTAATTGTAAACCTTGTGGTCTACTTGAAGGATTCGTAACTGAGGTGCAACTGAAGTAAAAACGAGTTCCAGTCGCCGCAACAACGACCAAATTTAAATGTACTGATTCGGATTCCGTTATCGCCGATATGCTTACGAGAGGTCGAAAGTTGTTACTGTCCAAAGTTCTGAAAAAAAAAAGATTGTGTCATATAATTTGATTATTCATGTATATTACAATAAAAGATATTACTTACTTAACAACATTAACAGTAGTTTGTACCAAAGACGCTTGAGATAATGATGTAATTCTAGATGCACCACCATTGCTAATATCCCAAACTGTAATTGTACCTCTATCACCTAAAGTATATAAAATATTTCGCGAATCGTCCACAGATATCTGTATTATAGCTTCTTCTTCTGACAATGCCATAGTAACAAATGAAGGTATTAGAAACGATAACGGACCTTCTGAATGATTTATTTTTTTACATCGTTTACCGAACCAACTGCTCTCTGCCTAAATGCACAAAAAGAAATTAAAATAAAAGTACAATGCAATGTCTCGGTCCTTACAAAATATCAGTATTAAAAGTTTAAATGTCCAACCTGATAATATATTTCAAATAGTGAGCCATTTCTACCACCGAGAAAGATTCTACCACTATTGGTATTAGCAATTGTAGTAATTCCTACTCCATCAGTAGTAACAGTAAAAATTGGTTCTGGAACTAACTGCACTTCTATGGATGTATAAATAAAACAAATAATATATATTCTTAATAAAATTCATAAGATGTATACAAAAAATAATTGGTAAAAGAAAATAAACAGAATTGTAATAAATTATACCTTTTGTATCATCAAGTATTGTAACACCGAGAATAGTTATTTCTACTGTTGTTGTAAGAATTAATAAGTATTTAACATAAAGCTGAAAAATATCTGCCTTGGGTTTTACTAAGCCTACGCTTATGATAGTTTCATTTAAACCATCAAAGTAAGCAACATCAGACCTGTTTTGCAGAAAAAATTTTATTTATAAATATTTTAGTTTTGCATATAAATTTATGAACTTATATATCAATCCAATAAAATTCGGAATATTAATGCTTACTCGTTTTCATAGGACCATAGATAAATATCACTGTCAATTGTGAGCCATGCTTTTGAAATTTCTGTAAAAAGCCCCATCATGCAATGACATTGCATATCTATATTTTTTTGTTAAGGCTTAAATAAGAAAGAGAATAAATATTTAAATTTACATTTATATAAAATTATCTGTTTGAAATATAATAAAATATTCTTTTTGCATATTTAGAAAGGATACGACCAAAATGCTCCATCACTTCTGAAGGCAAAGGAATTTTGCTATGTATTTTCATTTGATTAATATTTGTTAAGCTTATTGATGCACCATTTAAGTTAGGATAATCATGATCATCAAGGCCACTAACAGTTGGTCCACCTATATATGAAATGTATCCAATCACAGTTAGTCGAAGTTTTTACTGTTATTTAGAACTATAGTTTCTCTTTAAAGATATATATA